AGGATTGACCCATCGTCTGTCATTTTGAGCCGCCGTTTCCACTGCTGATGGAGCTTCCTTGATCTAAACCATCGGATTGGGGAAAGATTTACTTATTACAGCCAACAGGTGTGCAAGAGTATTGCAGATTCTGGGGACATGCAGAAAGGTAAGTTCTTCAAAATCGTCCTTCATGGATTCGATATTTAGTAAAATCGTGCTAATGGAGGAACGGTCTAACAGAGGCCTTTGAAGCTTAGCAATGACTTCGAAGCAATCTCCTTCGAGCACAATCTTATGGAAACCCAGTTCCTTGGAAAGACGAATGGCATACTCATAAGCTAAGGCTTCTGCCATTTCCGGGTGAAGAACAAAAGGATGTGGGAATGTGCCTGCTGCCATGATGAGTCATTCACTGTTTCGGAAAATGAACCCAGACACAGAGGAGGAGCTGGGGGAGTTGAAACTGCCATCAGCATTTACCTTGATTCTTTTTTTTGAAAAAAAAGGTAAGATTTCATTTAAATACAGATTATTATTTGACAAAGCCCAATGAGCTAAAGAGTGAGCTACCCTATTCGCTTCTCGTTTGGTGTAGTTAACCTTGAAGTTCAGATGGTGCGCTAGGATATCGTGGGCTTCATTGAGTAACAATCCGACAACAGTGATGTCTTCTTATCAGCTAGTGAGGCGGTGATAATAGAAATTGTGTCTCCTTCGGAGTTACATGCTCCTAATCATTTTCAATAGCCACTACCACCATTGCTACTGTTGATTCCGGAGTGTGAGAGGACTCAAGCTTTTATGAAATTCCCCCTGCCACCATTCCATGGTGATTGCAGGCAAAAACATCAAGCGTCCCTTATTTTATATTAGTATGTGTACATTTTCATTCATTATAGACTCATCCACGTTAACGATAATAATGTTGGGATTTAATATGAATAATGAACGGTTTAAAGTGTGGAGTTAAAATGAATTGAAATACAAGACACATACGCATCAGAATTTTGGTTCAGAACAATAGGAATGGGTTTTGAAAGTTCCTGAACGGAAGAACAGAGTGAGTGGGGGAGTCAGCGAAGAGACTAATGCTTGCATTTCCAAATGAAAAACGGTATCTTGTTCAATTACAAATGTTTTCACTGATGGTTGGATTTTTCCCTCTTAAAAATCATTTTATTATCTTCAACCTTATCCTCTCTTGTACACAATCCCCAATCCCCAACTTAACCTCACGCATCCCTAAACTCGCAGCTGTTATTCTCTAAACATCCCAAAAGAACCTAAACCGATTGAAGCAATTAAAAAAAACAAACAAATAAATAAATACAGCTTTACTTTTTCGGGCAATTTTTACCTAAAAATTACCCTAACAATAAAATATTATTTGTTAGGCACATTTTCTTCAAATATTATCAAATTAACATTCTTTCTAACAAAGCACGGATCATGAAGTACATCTTCACGAGATTTTGTTTGAGCTGACGCCGAGATAAAAAGGCACATATCATGAGGCGCACCTTCGCATGGTTATTTCTAAGCTGACACCACGTTGGAAGGCACAGATCATAAAACGCGTTTTTGAGGGAAAATCTGACACGTACAGGAAGACATATATCATGAGATGCGCCTTTCATTATTCACCTTGAATTATTGTGCACTTCGTTATTACCCGAGCCTTAAATATCATCTATTCACCCATCCCACTCCCTTATAAATATTTCGAATGCAAACATTAAACCACATCAAAATTATTTTCACATTCTTTCTTCTATTAATTCTTTCTACCAAGCTAAGTAGATTTTGTTATAGTTTTTAAAAGGTAAAATTATTTTTATTGTATTATATTTAATTATTTAGCCAAATTTTATTATACTAATTATTTTCTATTATTTTTGCGATTATAGATGGTGGTTTTTGTGATATATCACGATGATTTTTCCTTATACATGACCGCCTATTCAGTGTAAAAAAATCATTATATACTTAAAAATTATTTATATACGAACTCAGTATTGAAATTACATCAAAAATAACGGGAAGAGTAATGAGTTTCTCATGACCGGACATCCGTCGATAGAATTTTTTCGATAATCAGTTGTCCGACACATTTCTTTATTCAAAGATGTCAAAACCGCGGAGCCCAACTAAATGTGTTGACAACTCAAAAATTTGTGAGGTGACGCAACTACATACAATGAATTTAGTTGCGAGATTTATCGGGGATCAAGATCCCTCCTATGTATTGTAATATGCAAGCCCGAACAAATATTTTAGCCTAATCCTCGGAACAGTCTTCGCTCAACTGTCAAAAATATGTAGCCAACCATGATAATTATATTCGACCACCGTTGAAATTAGGTGGGATACCTCCAAGATACTCCTCGCACAAGAAATGTCAATTACTATCCGCCACACCAAAAATAACATCCTCATCTACCGAAAGCCCCAAATGTATAGAAACATCCTCCAGCGTAATAATGCACTTCCTACACTGAAGATGGAATATATGTGTCTCTGGTTTCCATATCTAAATCAGTAGAGAAATAAGGTTGGGTTCAATGTTACAATGCCTTCATATTTCGTTATGTCACCAAATCCAGCCGCGGTTAAATACAGCTAGACACAATTCGGTATCGCTAACTTAACGTTAAGAATAAATGTATCTAATATACAGTCATTCACCTAATTAAATAAATAGTATACAAATTAAAATATAAACTAATACTAAAAAATAACTAAATAAAACATTCATAATAAATAAAATAACATAATTTAAAATTATTATTGTATCGGTAAAATGACTCAAGATATGATTCTATCTAAATACAACAACCCACCTGTTATTTTATAACTGTAAAAAGTAATAAAAAAATTAGTACAATAAAATATAATAAAATATTAAATGATTATAATATAATAAAAAAATTAGCTTCTATCAATGATAATTAAACATTCTTAAAATTTGATAGAATAATAGATAGAACGAAGAGATATAATACTTTCGTTTGTGGTGTGAGTGTTGCAAGGGAGGGGTATTTATAGGGGAGGAGGAGACGGACAGACAGTTGGATTTAAATGAAATGTGCGGATCATGATTCACGTCTTTTACTAATTCAGACGGAACCCCAAGAGCGCGCTTCATGATCTATGCCTTCCAAAGTGGCACCAACTCGGACAAAATCATCGAAGGCACACATCATAATCTGTGTCTTTCTAATGTGGCATCAGTTCGGATAAAATTTCGTGAAAATACGTTTCATGATTCACGTTTTTTTCAAAAATGATACTATATCAAAAATATTTAGAAAAAGAGTGATTGATATGTAATATTTCATTGTTTGGATTTTTTTTTGGGGTGGGGGGGTAAAACCGCCTTACTTTTCGAGTATTTCTGGTTTTGAGATTCATGGACGAATATGAATGATAAAGAGTTTCAGTACGACGAGGAGAAGTGGACAACTACATAACCGCTTTCCAATACGAAACTGTAAATCTTTGCCTTTAGGTACTTTTTAGGCTAATAGCACTTCAGCCCTCCTATTTTGTAATTCTTATAATTCAGTCTCTTTTGAGTATGTTTTATCTTCTATTTTGATCCTTTCAACTTCTCTGTTGTTCAATTTAGTCATATGTTGCATAATTAATTGCATATTTAGGCTAATTTCATAACACGGATTTTGTTTCGAAAAAGAGACGCGGTTGCAATGGATTTTTTATGATAAGATGGTTTAGGATGAGTACTTTTCATGACACTGAAATATGATTGAAATTTCCTCATGAAAATTTGAGTCAATCATTCACTGGGGACTAAGCAGGGAGAGTAATGCTTGATAAGGAAAACTGATAACCATATGAATGACCATAATTGTTTTAATCTAGTAGATGGAATTGAGAGAAAAAAAGGCTTGTTGGGGTTGTTTTAATCTAGTTAATGGAATTGTTCAACCAACCCCCGCTTATGTTTTTGGTATGATTATGACCCATCGTCATTTCTAGGGGCCTAACAATTTGTCAAAACTTGACGATCCAACATGATTACTCAAAGTCTCCATCTTGAAAATCCACAAGGCCAATCAATTTTATGGAGCGAATTATTCTATTAATTTTATCAAATCAGATGTGTCAGAGTTAGGGTATACCTAAGACCCAATTGAGATTTGCATAGGAAGTTACAGATTATTTACCAAGGGTGACGGTGGTAGAATTCAAACTTGACCTTACAAACTCAAATTCTTGAATCCTAACCACTTGTGTTAATACTCGTTGACCTGTCCCGTTCAATTTCAGTGGGCCTATCGAAGTAAATATTAGTGATTGATAGATTATTTAATGAGGATATGGAAATATGTTACTTAGATCTGCATTATTAAGATTTATCCACAATTTTAATCAATTTCTTCCCATGTCTTTCTGGTGTTTCTGTTGTTGCTGTAAGCATTACCAGTCGTATACTTGGGTCTGGTAAGCGTTTCTTTAAGGAGGTTTAAAAGATGAATAACCATAGAAAATTTGTGGAAAACAAAAAGAAATTGAATTCAAAGACGACAAGTGTACATATCGGAGTGGTTATATATCACTTCAATCTTCTTTACTACTTTTTTTTTAAAATAATATTCTTTATAAAATGATTGTGACGGGTTGTTTTATTTGGCGGTAATATAGTGTTTTCATGAAGCAATATGTGGTTTAGTGAAAACGACATTGGCGGGGACATATAATAGGGGGTAGGGGAATTCATTCGCTAAAGATGCCTTCTTATACTATGGTTGTTGAATTCTTCTTTCTTATATTACAAAATGAAGCCATCAAATGAGAAGATATTGTAGGTTCCATGGTTGACGATGAATATGATGTTTTTGTACCGACTAGATGTAAGCATTTGCTGAATACAATGTCATAAAAAATGTTCTACTAGTTAATCGACGGTCAGTCCGATGATTAAAAAGGTAAGAGGCGTAACTAAGATATATATAGATTGACATATTTTAGACATATTTGGATTTATATCTGGTAGATGGGTAGCCCTAAAACATCAACTATTGTACAGCAAAATGTCTTGCACAATTATCACCTTATCTAAGTCTAATTCTTATGGCACTTATAGTTAAAATCTCAAATTAGTTGGAAGTTTGAGATTGAGAAAGAATTTTGATCAAATGAGGCCTTGGGGAGCACAGAGCCTCCAATGGTATAGCCTTCAACAAAAATTGTCCTTTACCTGGGGTCATGTCCACCTTGTCTGACCCTACCTTTTCCCATTCAAAGCATTGTATAGCTGTACCAAGTGCCAACAAAATCATCCTCAAGCCCATGGCAGCGCCTGGGCAGGCTCTCCTCCCAAGTCCAAATGGAAGATATTTGGATCCTTCTTTCTCTTGGAAACTCCCCTGGAACCTCTCAGGCTTGAACTTGGCTGGCTCGTCCCATATGGTAGGATCCCTGTGGATGGCCCAAGCATTGACCATCAGCAGTGTGCCTTTAGGTATCTCATATCCGCCCACCGTGCAATCTTGGGATGAGTAATGAGGCAACAGAAGCGGTGCTGGTGGATATAACCTGAGTACCTCATCTACGACGCAACCCAGATAAGGGAGGTTGGCAAGATCAGAGTCATTTAGAAGACGCTCATTTCCAACATTGCTAACCATCTCTGCTCTCACTTTCTCCAAGGCCTCTGGATGATTCAATAGGAGTGACATTGCCCATTCCAGTGTGAATATTGTCGATTCAGTTCCTGCAATGAACACCATCTGATGCCACGTGTTGTTGCATGTCGATGTTAAAAACAGATTCATGTTCATTGCTTTGATAGATTAATCAAACAAAGGTCTAATTTCTGTTTCTTTTCTGCCTTGAAATGAGATAAAATACTTACCAATGCCGTGGCCTTGATGAGTTCATCGGAAAAGAAACCGGGATCTTTTTCTTGAAAAGACAGAAGCTTTTCAATGAGTGAAGGATTCTTTCCCTCTTCCTTTCCCACGGCAACGTCACGAGCTGTGTTTAATCTAGTTCCATCAACTAATTTCTGTAGGAATTCATCTCTCCTCCTATGTAATTCTTTCAATCTCTTTTCAATCCCTTGGAAACCAATCCACTTGAGAATTGGGAAGAAATCACATACGTTGGTTCCGACGCCCACAAAAAATAAACTCTTGAATTCTTGGACGAACATCCTTTCTGCTTCCTTGTCGACCTCCTCACCACGCTTTCCCGACACCAGCTTCAACGAGAAATTCATTGTCAGAAGGCTGAACAAGTATCTCATGTCCACTTTTCCGGTGCTGCCGTAAGCCGCTGAAGCTTCAAACAATCGACGAACGAAGTTGCCAACTTCTTCTTCTCGTATGGAAGTGAGCTTTTGAACGTTGATCGATGAGAGGATTTCAACAACGCTGAGCCGGCGGAGGCTCCGCCAAAGAGGTCCGTAAGGAGCCCACACGTAAGAACGGTGGTCGTACATTAAAATATCCCCAGCCATAGTCTGAGGCCGGTTTGCAAAGATTATATCATTCTTGCCGAAGCATTCCTCAACGTCAGAAGGAGAAGAGACGACAAGGATACGCCTGGAACCTACTCTGAGATATAAAATGGGTCCATACTTTGGTAACAAGGTTGCCCATGACTTGTAGAGCGGAAGTTTGAGATGGTGAAGGTGGCCTATAATTGGTAGAGAAAAGGGACTCGGTGGTAAGTTTCTCTTTCTCTGAGTTAAGAGTTTGATGGTGAGAAGAATGAAAGATATGAGGCAAAGGTAGTAATGGAAGTTTCCCATGGGAGGAGGATCCAAGCAGAGATGAAGAAAGTCCTACACAGCCCCTAAACTTTATACGAGTGTTGTAGAGGAGAGGCGTATCATTTGAAACATTCTACGCAGGGGAACCTTAAGCATTACCAATTCCTCATTCCATACGGTCATAAGCTTCAAAATTCCAATCACAATTTTAAAAAGGTGGAGTATTAGGTGGTTATATGTTTAAATTATTGGAAAGTCAAACGATAAACCAAAGACTGCTTCAATCAACATTTACAAGATTAAACACAAACGCTCTGGTCTAATTAAATCCCAATGGTTTTTGTTGATAATAATTTAATTTAAAATTCACTCATAACAACTTGCTGTTATATAAAACTAGTTTAGAGCATTAATTAGCTGACCCTTATTCCCATATGTAATGGGATAAGGGGAAGTAGGATAGTAGGGTACTCCCAACGTCAGATTGAAAGCAGCTTCCGTGAAAGACCTACAAATTATGAAATACCTTTCGTAGGACTCGATCCCACAACCTCAAGGTTAAGAACATTCCAACTGAGTTGGACTGTTATTTTCGGTTTAGAGCATTGATTGTCTCAATTAAATTTAATAGCAAGGTCAATGCATCATTTTACACTCTTTCACATGCAAGACACCACTTAAACTAATAAAAAAATATAATATAATCGCATTTTTTTGCTCTTAATGTAATACATAAATTTCATAAAACTTTATGTATTGTTGAAATTTAAATTTTATGTTTTATTTTATTGAATAAATTATATTGTTTCTCATTGAACTTTATTATCTCCTATTTTACTCATTGTACTTTTAATTTTTCTAATTTTCTTACTGAACTTTATAGATTGAATCATTTTGCTCACTCTGTCGTTAACTTTTTAACGGCTTTATGACATGACACAAACATCAAAACGACATCCTTTTGAATTTTCTTTTTTTTACTCATTTTCTCTCAACTTTGCAAATAATGTGACCATTTGTCGTCGTCCCCGTTACGTCATTTTTCATTCCGATCATCGTTTACTATCATTGATGGTGGTCGTTTGGTATCAAAACTCATGGGTTGGTTCGTCTCGACCTCCTGAGTCCGAATATGGTGGTCGATTCACCGAAAAATGTCCCAAAATCTATGAATCTCGACTGAAACGTTTCAATTTCCTAAATTTCATCATGAACTTCGGTGCAAGTTGCGACAAAATGGAGGTCAGATTTTGACTCAAGGTGTCGAGGCGAAGCGACCCATGAAATTTGAGACCGAACGAACACCATCTCCGGTGATCGACGGTGGCATCCGGCCACCTTCTATTTTATTTTATAGTTGGGTGAGCAAAATAGGAGAGAGGGTAAAGTTCAATGAGGAATGGTGTAATTTACCCTTTATGTTTTCAATTATTTTATATTAAATAATAATAATAAAAATGACATGTCATCACAACATTAGAGAGATAACATATGAGTAAGAAAAATGATTCAATATATAATGTTCAGTGAGAAAATTAGTAAAATTGAAAGTACAATGAGTAAAATAAGAGATAGTGAAGTTCAGAGGAATAGTGGAATTTACCTTATTTTATAAAATTAAGTTAATACATAATATTTATATAAAACATTGGGTAAACTACATGTTTAGTACCCTAACTATCATTTTTTCTGTTATGGTCACCTAATTATTTTTTTCAAAACCATATATATATATATATATATATATATATATAATGAGATTTTAAAGAATCAAAGATTTGATTTTTTTTTTTTGACAAATCAAAGATTTGGTTTATTAAAAAAAGAAATAAAAAGAACAAGTCGCATTATTCCACTCAAGTGACACCAATGGAGACACCGGTAGGGCAGGGAATTTGGTAGCAACGTACTCTACCAACATATTTTATATATACGTATAGTTCGTTATAAACAATACAAAATGACAATTGACAAAGTCCTAAAAGTTCATATGACTTTGTACCAACATATTTTATATATACGTATAGTGCGGTATAAACAATACACAATGACAATTGGCAAAGTCCTAAAAGTCCATCGATACTGCATGCAGCTCATATGGAGATAAAGAAGAATCCCCACAAAACCCCACATCGTTGACAAACTGCACCCGAAGCATTCACATGTTCCACAGTCTTCACTAAATCTGTATAATTTTCTAATTTTCTGGTATTAAATTGTAGGGTAAATTACACGGGTGATCATTCAACTATAGTCAAAAATCACTTTGACCGTTGATGCTTTATTTTGATCAAACAAACCGCTCAATTATTTAAAAGTTCATTTAAACAGCTTTCCGTTTATTTTTAACGGAGATGGTGACGTGTAAGTTGATAAAATTGGCATAATTATACATTTGGTCCTCAATATTTGCACATTCTATCAATTTAGTCCTAACTTTAATTTAATTTAAAATTTTAACCCTCTAATTTGGAAGTGCCACATGTCAACATATTATTGTGACACATGTTTAAGTGACACATGTCACTATATTATTGGAAGGTCCATTTAATTAATTTTAATATTTTAATTAATTAAATTTTATCACCAATCGAACCTTTGCCGTTGGACTTAAATACCCATTTGATTTCAAATGGCACAAATATTTACATATTTTGTTTTATATTATTTCACTCATATATATAGATATATTAAATTATTAAAATATATCTAATAAATAAATTATATTTAATATATATATATATATATATATATATATATATATATATATATATATGTTAAATTACAGTTAATGAAAGATTTAAAAATAAAATGAGTTTAATATTTTTATTTCTAAATTATAATATATAAATCATATTAAAAATAAAATTATATAAAAAATTATTAGAAAATCCAAAGTCACAAAAAAGCTTAAATCATAAAATATTTTATAATCTAAATCTTAAATTTTTATATTCAAATTTTTTTTAATTATTTCTTATTTATTTTAAATTTATAATTATTTAAAAATGATTTTGAAAAAGAAAAGTTTTAATTTAATTTAAAATATAAAAATATTATATTCATTTTTATTTTTAAATCCTTCATTAATTACAATTCAATATATATATATATATATATATATATATATATATATATATATATATATATGTGAGTGATGTTGTAAGTATTGTATATGCTATTGTGCAATTTAAAATCAAAAGGGTCGTTTGCCCCTGTGGTAAGGCGTGCCCAGAGATTGGAGGGTTAATTAAAATATTAAAATTAATTAAATTAGTCATCCAATAACATAGTGGCACGTGTCACAATAATATGTTGACATGTGGCACCTATGGATAGAAGGGTTAATTTTTTAATTTAAATTAAAATTAGGACCAAATTGATATAATGTGCAAATATTGAGGACCAAATGTATAATTATGCCAATTTTATTAACCGACACGTCACCATCTCCGTTAAAAATTAAGGAAGAGTGGCTTGAATAAACCATTTAAATAGTTGAGTGGCCTGATTGATCAGAATGAAACATCAATGGTTAAAGTGATTTTTGACCATAGTTGAATGATCAACTGTGTAGTTTACTCTAAATTGTAATAACAACACAATGCAATAATTACGTCATAATGATATCTAAAATCATTAAAACACTATTTATATTCGTAATTTAAAAATATAGCGATGGTAATTACAATAGAATACTACGATAACAATTCACAGAACATAATACTGAACGACGTAAGCTTCAACGGTTGTGGAGTGGATCTGAGGCGTTTGGAACTTTCCTGTTGCTTGAAAAGAATGCATCAATGGAATGCCTTAAGCTTTGGTGCTGCTGTTTCGAAGGGCTCCTATTCTTAGCATTATCTGGCGAATGACCGTTCATGCCGACAAGCATTGCCTCGTCCTTCTGATACCCTGACACTAACACAGAGAGTACCAACACAATGATAACTAGTTTCTTCAACAACCTCATAAACAGAGACAGCTGAAAGTGCATGGTGTAATTTCCCCAATTGAAAGGAAAAATATTCCACTGTACGATGAAAGGAAAAAAAGGTAGGAGGTCGGATGATGGCGAGGATTGGAGTGAAGACTGAGAAGAGAAAGCAAAGCAGTGATGCTTGTATGGTATATATAAATCTTGGCCTTTGTGTGGGGGTTTTGTTTATCTGCTTTGGAAAGTAGTGAACCAGAAATCAGCACGGGCATTCTTCTTCCGTCGGATCATTTTCCTTTTACGTGCAAAAGCACATTTCATGTCCCCAAAGATGATTTATTTTTAAACAAACAAAAGCAATTTAATAATAATATAGAATACGTATTTACACCCCACACACAACCAATATTTGAATAATTTAAGTTTAGTTTAGAAGGGTGTGCTGGATCGTGAGGAGACCTGCGGAGGAATTTACGTTGCAAACTCAACCAAATTTCTGACAAGATACCGGGAGAGTCAACATTTACAACATTAATTAAAGTCCATTCATGGTGGAAAATGAACTATGCAAACTTAATCCAGGAAAGATAATGGCACTATTTCCCTTGCTTTGTTTTTTTTTTTACATTTTCATTTGGAAGTAGGTTACGATCTTTTTTGGGTTTAAATCCTAAAAGTTAATGGCAACCTCATTTTTCACTGTCTGTGATAAAAATTAATTTTATATTTAATCATAAAACTTAAAATTAGGATCTAATTATAAATAAATAAAGTGATAAAAAAATAATATCAAACCTTTCAAAATTAATTAGGCATTATGCAAACAAATACCCCTAACGTTTGGTACTATATGTATTTGTGCCCAAATCGTTTTTTTGGAACAGTTGTACCCACAACTTTTGATTATGAGGCATAAGTCCTCCTCTTTAGATGAAAACCGTTAGTCAACTGACGGTCAACGACTCCAGCTGACTAAGCAAGCACATGTGTATGATGATGTGGAATTGACACGCCAGCTTTTTTAATTAAACTTTAATAAATATTTTATACCAATAAGAGAGTGACACGTGTCACTCTCCCACTAGTGCATATAGGCATGAATGGATAAAATGCTAAGGATTGTTAGGGATGGGAATCGAACCTGAGGCAAGGGCCTAAAATGGGATGGCCCTTGCCACTAGGCCCTTGCCTCAGGTGAATTGGAGCGATTCAAACGCCGTAACTTCATCCCCGTCCGACGCCGTTAAATTATATCTGGTCTCCGCCGTCCTTGCGTTTGGCTCCATGGTTGAAAGATAAAATAAGAAGCGCCCAAAGTCGAAATTTTGAAAGAATAACCCAGCTCAATTTTCTGGAAAAATAAAATGTACACCCTTGGTAAGTTTAACCCAATTCAGAGATTTAAGAGATTCGAGAAACAAAACTTTGATTAGTTTGTTCAATGACGGTGAGGTGAAGCTTAGAGAAAAGATGATTAGAGGGTTTTACCCTGTTCGACTGCTGGTTTGTTTGGTTTGTTGTGATCTGAGTGTGCTCTCATCCTTTGTTGATATCTTTGGTTAGTTTATTGGTCTCTTGTTTAGAGTGTGGGGATCTGAGATTGATTCATTTTGTCGGATGGGGGATGTTGTGCAGAATCTGGAGGAACTTCGCATTGAGGATGAAGAAGAGGAGGCGTTAGTAGTCAACGTGAATGAAGGAGATATTGGCTTATCCTAGGATGTTTTGTGGGGACTTTTTACACATCAAGTACGATCAATTCCACACAATAACCAAATAACATGCCTGGTCAGGTGGCAAGGGCAATCCTATTTCAAGCCCTTGCCGTGGGTTTGATTCTCATCCCTAGCACTCTTTAACATTTTATCCATTTATGCCAATACGCACCAGTAGGAGATGATACGTGTCACTCTCTTATTGGTATAAAATATTTATTAAAATTTAATTAAAAAAGTTGACATGTCAATTTCACATCATCATATATTAATGACGTGGACACGTCACGTCATCATCGCTGTCCACCTGTGTTTGCTTAGTCAGCTGGAGTCGTTGACTGACGGTTTCCATCGAAAGAGGGAGACTTATGCCTCATAATCAAACGTTGTAGGTATAACTGCTCCAAAAAAAATGATTTAGGCATAAATGCATATAGTGTCAAACGTTAGGGGTATTTGTTTGCATTATGCCAATTAATTATTAAACAACCCTTACTCTTTTCCTTGTCAACAATGAAAATACAAATAATTGGGCCCATTTTTTCAGCTTAATAGATCTGCATCCCGGCCTAGCCGTTAGAAACAACAAATATTTAAAGAAAATTTTGTTACATGCTTATTATTGATTGAAAAGAGTACAAAATTTTTATAGGAGGCATGTGAGCAGTTACTTCAGCTTTAACTACCTACCAGACTTACAACTTACAAACTAACTTAACTGCTCTTAACCATGCCGCCAGCTAAGGAAAACTAACTACATTTAGTTACATTAATTGAAGTCCCTTAATATTCTCTCTTCTTTCCTCTTCTGCACGTGACTGAACCTGTACCTTATATCGAAAGCTCTCAAACCTGCCAATTGATGACCGGCAGGCACGTAGTTGACAACCAGCTGCTTAGTTGCCACTTTCTCCCTTACAAAATGTACATTGAGATTCACGTGCTTGGCTTTAGTATGATACATCGGGTTCCTACTCATTGCTACAGCTCCACTATTGCCACACCAGATTGTAGGGATTCTCTGTTGCTCAATTTCCATGTCTGAAAGAAGGTCGTCAATCCATGCTACCTCAGCTACCACAGCCGTAACACTCCTGTACTCGGCTTCCATGGTGTATTGTGATACTGATTTTGGCTTTTTCGGAGTCCAGGACACAAGACTATCTCCAAGGAAAACACAACTACTAGTCACCGACCTCTTGTCATCTGAACTGCCCCCCAATCGACATCTGCAAATGTCATTACCTTCACCTTGACATCCCCAGGGCACATAATCAGGCTATGATTCAAGGTACACACCAAATAAAATCCTCCTTACAGCAAGCATATGACCTTGTCGAGGAGCATGCATGAATTGTGCAACCTTGTTGACACTAAAGGTGATGTCAAGATGTGTGTGGCAGGCGTACAACAACACTCCTGCAATGCTTCGATACTCCTTGGCATCATCTAGTAACTCCCCAGCTTCATGTGTTAGCTTCGACATGATCATTGGAGTGGAGGCGAAATTAGCATCATCCATTCGAGTCTTCATTAGAGGTTTGAGAAGAAATTTTCGTTGTGACAGAAACAAGTAGCTATCCATTCTTTTGACTTCAAAACCCAGAAAGTATCCTAGCTCTCCTAGGTCTTCGATTGAGAACTCAGCATCCAGCGTCTTAACAACTCGCTCAATCTCACGGTCAGAGACTCCTATAATAATAATATCATCCACGTATATTAGCATATACGTACACTGCCAGTCACGACTATGAACAAACAAGGATGAGTCTGCTCTAGACTCCATGAACCCTAGTTGAAACATAAATTGTTTTAGCCTATCATGCTATTTCCTAGGTGCCTAACGCAAACCATATAAAGCTTTGTTTAGCATGCACACCATCTAACTGCCATCCTCAGCACACCACTCAAACCCTGGTGGCTACTGTATGAAGACCTCCTCATCGAGCTCCCCATTTAGGAAGGCGTTGTTCACGTCAACCTGGCAAAACTGCCATTACCTTACCACAACAAGAGACAAAACTACATTTAATGCAGTATCATCAGTTTCCAGACACACTTTAGGCTTAAAACCCCCACATTTGCTTCTTGTTAGCATGTGATGCATGTTCCCACCCACTACAGGATTGATAGCAACTTCTTCACCACCGACTTCCTTATCACCAGGTGAACTAGCACCACTTGCATGCTCACCAAAATGCTGATCAGATTCATGTAGCATTGACTCATACAGCACATGACTCATGACCATTTGCTCCTCAGCATGTTGTGTTGAACCAGTAGCTTCTTCTTTTGAAGGTCACGTGTTCTCTTGCTCCTCAATACCCTGTGATGTACTTATAGCCTCACTTTCTGGGAACACCATATCATTCTCGGTAACCTCAAGGCCATCATGAATCTACATATCATCACCTACATAACTTTTAACTAAATCATTATTTTGCTAACCCATTCCTGGTTGCAATTTACGAACATCCATCACAATATCTACTTTTTGTGATTGCTGAAATCGAGATTGTCCACCATTCATTGACTGGCTTTGCATTTCAACAAATGAAAATACCTCATCATTAAACACTATATGTAATGACACATAAATTCATCTTCCTGGTGCAAGACACAAATATCGTATATGTTGAGGGTTGTACCTCAAGAAAGTATAATTTGTGACCTAAACACAAGTTTATGGTTATGAAATGGCCTTAAGTGTGGGAAGCGTTTACACCCGAATACCTTTATCATGTCATAATCAGGATTTCTTCAAAGAAACTTTTCACACGGAGTTATTCCTGTCAACATATGAGTTAGCAATCGGTTAATAATATAAATCGATTGTCATGGTTGCATAAAACCAATAGGTTAAGGGTATAGAAACATGTGCCAACAAAACCAATGCCATTTCAATTACATGCCTGTGATTCCTCTTCAAAACTCCATTTTGTTCGGAAGTGTGAGGGCAGGCAAGTCTATGAGTGATCCCAGCTTTGAGCAGCACAGGGGAGAGGCTTTTATATTCCCCCCAATCACTCTGGACAATCTTTATAGTCACACCAAATTGGTTCAGAACCATCTGCTGGAAGAGACCAAACACTGAGACAGCTTGAGACTTGTTTTGTAGGAAATAAATCCAGGTATGCCTGGAGAAAGCATCCACAAAAGTCAATTAATTATGAAAGCCCTTCGATACAACATGTATTGGACCCCACAAGTCAGTGAACACCAATTGAAAGAGAGCATTGCACACAGTGGTTGAAGGAACAAATGGCAATTTAAGACTCTTATCAATAAAACAAGCATCACATGATTTATTCATATCCTTTGGAATTTTTACATTCAAGGAATTACACGTCTTTACAATTGTATTATAGGTTGCATGACCCAACCTTCGATGCCAAATTTTGTACAAATCAACATCACTAGACCTAACAACATTCACTTGAGCATTTTCACAAACACGTGGTAACTCAGTTCCAGCAAACACATACAAACCATTGTTGACATGCTCTCTAAGAAATACTTCTCATGTGTAGTTATCACGAATACATCTATTAGACCAAAACTCAAAGGAAACTTCATTATCCCTAGCACACTTATATAAAGACGGAAGACTATGTGTTATTCTAGGAACATGAAGAAGATCTTTGAGAAACAGATTACGGATACATGAGGATATAACAGTACTCCAAACATGACTAATAACTAAAGCTAACCCATTTCCAACAGTAAGCTTACATGGGCCATACTGCTTAGATTTTTTAATGCTACCACCTGGATCAGGTGTCGCATGATGTGTGGCACCTGAATCAACCATCCACTGTTAACGATTATAAATAATAACTGTATTTACCTGTGGTGCAACATCAGACTGCAGCACCCCCTTCGACTTACTGCAACAACAGTCGTAACCAATCTCATCTACCATGGTACAGTGAGCACTTGCTTAGCCTTGTTTGTTCTGATTATCAACATAAATGCCTACAAACTCTTGTCAAATCTATACCAACATCGACTGACCAAGCGCCCAATTTTCCCACACAGTTGACACTGCACACGTGGGCGACCTCTACTTCTGCCAGCAGACCGTCCTCTATTAGAATGTGAAGAGAAATGAAGTGTTTGCTGACCAGTAGTTGCAGAGCCATTTCTCACATCTGCTCGAGCAACATAGGCAATGGCCCCAAGATTCTCCTCTTGAGCTACAAACTCAGCCAACTATGTTTCAGCATCAATAAGCATTTGATAAACCTTCTCCAAGGGAAGCGAATCACCATGTGAGGTAATCACAGCCATGAACGACTGATAGTCTTTGGGTAGCCCTTTGATACTCGCAATGATCTCAACAATAGGAACCGGGCAGCCACATGATACTAGGGCATCACATACTTCTTTGACTTTAGTAAGAAAGACCCTCATGCTATCTTCACCTTTCTTGAGTGACTGCAACTTGTAATGCAGATTCATAATAGAGGTTGGAGACTATTTGCAAAGAATTGAAGAACCGTCTTCCAAACGACAGTCACTGTCTCTGCGCCAACAAACTTGGAAGTAAATGTGTATTAATTGTAGACAGCAACCACGAAGCAACATCGTTATCTTGGGCTACAAAATCTTTATATGCTTCATTAGGAATCATGACACCACTCTCATTCACCACTATCTCCGGCGGAGGCTCTAGTGCACTTGTCAACAGTCATTCCAAACGATGACTTCTGATTGTGAGAAACACTTGTTGCTTCCACAACAAGAAGTTCATTTCATCCAGTACAACATTCACCATTTGTTTGTGAATATTTTAGCACTTCTTGAAAACTGATTTTCAGGAGACACAATCGGGAGTAAGAGCCATGCTTCAAGAACTACGCAACAGAAACAACAAATCCCCCAGAACAACAAGCTTATTATTGATTGAGAAGAGTACAAGACTTTTATATGAGGTATGGGAGCAGTTACTTCAGCTTTAACCACCTATCAGACTTGCAACTTACAAACTAATCTAACTACTCCTAACCATACTGCTAGCTAAGGAAAACTAACTACATTTAGTTACATTAGTTGAAGTCCCTTAATACTCTCATACCATCCCTTAAAATCTGTCACCAATCAAACCTACAAATAATAGGAAAAAAAAGCAATCATTTCAAGCCAACACAAGGATAATTCCAGGAATCCCCAATGTTAGCATTCCGCCATACAAAATAGAAGTAGCCTTAGCAGCTGTTGTTTGAAGTGGGTGACCAAAAACGCTGGATTTCGCTCATGCTAACTTGAGTGGTTTGTTGATGAAGCGATGGATGCATTAGGGAACCATCCATGAGTATGATGATTTAAAGTTTGGGTATAAGGTACTTTGGGGCATTCCAATTTGGGAGAAACACCACATGCAATAATGCCAGACCTTTCCCCCCACTAAGTTATTGCTTTTGTTTTAGGATAAGGTGCCGATGGGACGACAATCCTCTGCTTCTACTTCTACTTCTACTTCAAATTCCTGACTCATCAATCCACCTGAGTCGGCAATTTATTTCCCAAATCAAGAATTGCCAAAACACACTCCTATTTTCATATCAGTCTCTTACCTGTATAAATATCAACATAATAATCAACTGCTTCAAGTATGGAAAACTCCAAATTCCATTGAGTTTGGCCTCCAGTCTACCGATGACCTCAGCGAATGTCGAATTAATGTTCCTTCATGGAACGACAAAGAACATGGGAATATATATATATATATATATATATGTGTGTGTGTGTGTGTGTGTGTGAGATCAGCCCCCCACCTGGGTTCTTACAACTATCAACCCACGTGAAAGGAGACCAAAGAATATTCGCATTCATTTCATTGGGATGTTCAACTTGACAAGTAACAACAACATTTTGCATAAAACTCGATGCAAGTGGTACTGAACCGGCTGCACAACATATAAACCTTGGCAGATATTTTGTAATCTTACTGCAAAAAAAAATAAAACCAAAATGCGAGCTTGGTACTTAATTGGTGTGCTAGAGTGCACTCACCAGCAAAGTCGCAGCAGAACGTGGTTGCAGGGGAGAACGTCGTCATCACAAAACACCATCAGCAGGGCTGGATGTTGTTGGTAATAAACGAAAGCACTGTTGATATCATCAGCGAATGACATTGTCACAGGACGCCATTATATCTAATCAAATCATACCTGTACGATGCATTAATAGCCAAAAACAAGCATCCAGACTGTAAAAGTAAAGAAATGATGGTTGATAGTGTGAACAGGCAGATAACTGGAACGACTTCATTCTGAATGAACCCAAGCATTGGAATCTTTAGAAAACGTAACATATACATCATGGCAGGCAATTCGTATAATTTTAAAGATGATGATATGAGTGTGTTGAAATTGTTGTCGCACCACATTGATTCTTTAGTTGCTAGGAATCTAAGGGCGGTGAAAAGATATAAACAGAAAAGGCTTCCCTTCTATCTTTATGGGGGAAAAGGTGACAATACCATAAACAGTGCCCAAGAATACCAGTAATAAACGGATCCATTCACTAACAAACGTGATAAACTTGGGAAACATCATCTTTTGCCTTTACTTTTCAGGTTTCAACTCAAAGGGGTAGCAGAAATGACAAATAATCATCAAATTGATGACGGCAACGGTGGAGGCGATTCAACGGATTGGCTAAACTTGAGTCTTGGCAGGCACGAGGATATTGTTGCTTCAAAGAGTGGTTTCCAATCAAAATATGCTCCCAATAAGGTCTTCTCCTGTAACTTCTGCAGAAGGAAGTTTTGTAGTTCACAAGCGCTTGGTGGCCACCAGAACGCCCACAAACGGGAGAGGGGAGTAGTTAGACGATTTCAGGCGGAAAGGCTGATAGCAATGATGGGTTTCCCTGTAAATAAGCCGATGGCTCAGTCACTTGGTGTTCAGACACACTCACTTGTGCGCCAACTGAACACAGACTGGAGACCTGTGCTTGCAAGATTCAATGATTCCAACAAAGAGATTGTTGGGTCATGTACGGGATCCATTGACAGAGAAATAAGTTTGAAGTGGCCAGGGAGTTATCATGTGGATTCACAACCCTCCAAACCTCCACAAGAGCAGCTAAAACTCAACTTGGACCTCCGGTTATAATCTCCTTTCATAAATGAAAAGCTCTGTAAAGCCCGTTTCATGAGGTTTCTAGTGTACATTAGCAAGCAAAACTTCCAAGTTCAAATCACTTCCAATTTGCAGATCTGTTAATTAGAATCCATGGCAATATTATTGGACAGATTAACAATATCACCTGGCCGAGGTCACGTTCTGCAAAATAAACTTCTTCAAATGACAAGCCAAGATGCACAGCATAATCTTTCTTATTTGTGGATGAATTGAAATTATCACTTTAGAAGAATAACTATTCATAAAATAGTTTATTCTTTTTCTAGACATCCCAATCCCATGATCCTTGGGAGGAAATTGGAATTAACAGACACAAGAGATGATAATTATCAAATAGCAAGCAAAGTCATAGCAATTCAAGATACAAGTAAGTCTGGTCTGGAACAAAGTACAACCGTAATCCAAAATGACGTTTCAGTATTGTAATAATGTATATGAACATCTTAAGTCGTAAACATCAACATATGATATCCCCGTGTTAAGTCTGATGATTTATCAATTGGATGAAAACCATGTTGGATAGCTGTAATATTAAACATTGCATAAGGCAGTTGGTATGACGGGTTTTTAAACTCTCTCACGGTCTCTTATAGCCATGAAGTGAGGTTCTTGAGTGCTTAAGAATTTTGGTAGTTTTTATTCTTCAACATAATTAAATTTGATAGTGGTTCGATGTGCTTGTCAATGATTTGAATGTTCTTCGATGGTGATGTAACCACATCTGAATTTTATCATTCAATTCAAGTAATGATTAGAAATATTTATGTTTACATTACATTTTTTCATTGCATTTATGCTCATTTATGGTTACATTTGGTAATCGAGTATGATTGACCTCTATCTTGTCAATTTTTAAAACTTGTAAATTTCTCAAAATTAATGTCAAAATTTGTAAACCTTTGGTTTAAAATCTCTATCAAGGATTAAATTTGTTTAACAACAGTGAAACCAAATCTCAAATTTACATTTCAGACAATAACTATAGAATCTTTTTCACTGTATTTATGCTCATTTATGTTTACAAGCCACTCTTACAAGGCAAGTGTACCTTCTTTCATCAATTCATTATCAAAAAGATGGTTTTCCATGATTCAGTTAACCTTAAATCTTGGGAAATCAATAACTAGAACATCAATTTACCATTCAACTTTTCAAAAGCGGTAGCAGCAAAAACAAATACCTACAATCTGGCAATACACATGATTCAATGTTGCTGCTCTAAGAATCACTAACATTCTAAAGTCCAGCTCACGTTAGAAAACATTTCCCAAGTTAGTAGTATTGCTGCCAGTGTTGGTCTCTTGATGTTCAAATATTCATTTCACCCACATTCAGGCCTTCTCCAAGTTTTTTTTTCAAGGTCTTCTCCAAGAAGTTGAATTATAGAAATTAGACACTGGAAATCACATAAGTTAAACTTTCACGGCATCAACTTCTTGAACTTAAAAATAAGAGTCTGGAATCTCTGGAGAAGCAGGCATGGTTGCCACACATTTGAACTGTTCATAGAGAAATCAACATTCTCTCAATAAAATTTCAACAAGACCATATAAATGATTATCATAAATCTATTCCTAGTACTAAATGTACATACCTTGTGCTGCTTGTATTTTTCTCTAACTGCTTGCAGTGCACCTCCTCTTCTACTCAAATACAAGTCATGTATGATAAGGGCACATTCTTTCAGATCCGAGACCTTGTAGCCTGTGTACTCTTGCATAGCTGAGCTCTGTACACCACAAATGATTAGTAAATTTTTGCCACCTATGGATAAAAATCAACAGAATAAAATGGCCTGAAAGAAAGAACTCTTACCCAAGGATGTCTCATAGGTTGAATTATGAAATGTGCAAGAAATATAACAGAAGCAGCAATCCTTGAAGGTAAAAATTTTACACAGCCATAATCCAACAAACTCAACTCCGCAAGGTAACATCCAAGGAACTCTAGTTGCAAGCTGGAATCCTATACAAGACCAAAAGAAATTCTAAGTTCAAGATGAGATAACAATAACCTTGACCTCACAAACGCAAGAATGATGGGCATTTTCTATACCATGTAATCCTCTTGTGCAACTCTTGTAAATCTCCTGAAAAAATTAAAGGATAATACATTAAGTTTCTGGCAGTTGGCATTAACTGGTATGTACTATCAACAAAAATCTACTTCCCAAACCACTCTTACCTCAGAAATGTTTTAACTGTTGGATTGCCCAATTCAAACTTCAAGGCCTTGAGTATATCTGCCTCCATTTTAACCACCTTCGCAATTAGGCAACAAAATTCAGTAAATGAATTAAGCAAAGAACTACACATATGAAAAAGAAAAGGAAAATGAAGTATTAAAAAAATGGGGGGAAATACCTCTTCTTTCCTGTAAGTATTATCTGTTATGTAGCAAAAATCTTCCACGTTTGGAGGATTGATTTCCTCGTACTTTCTACTTGAAACAATCACAGCAAAAATAAATAAATAAATAAAAGATTTGTCAGCACAAAACTGAAAACAATTTCTAATGAAAAGGACATTAAATTATGAAGAAACTAGAAGCTTACGATGCAATCAGCATAGAAGATACACCCAGCAGTTGAAGCCTTTGCCTATTGAGGGCATTTAAAGATAGGTACCTATCAATATAGGATACGGTTATGTATAAAGTATCTGAAACAAGCTTGTATTCCTCTGCAACTTCCACCAACCAATCCACCAAAACCCCTCTCATATTTGTACTAACATCCTTCTGTACCTTTTCGATATAGTCAGGCAACGGCCTTCTATTTGGATCCACCTAATATTAATTGCAACAAAAGAATGGTCATTTAGTGAACTGAGCAGAGAAATCGCATTTATCAACAGACTGACGTTACCAAATAGGCAAATATTTTCCTAACTTGTGCCAATGTTAACAGCTTATTCAAACTCAAATCACATATTTCAGTTACTATGACCAGATTCGAACCCGTAACATTTCAATTAATGTCTCAGATCATCCAAATTGGGAGAAGGGGAGCTGTGTTTTTCAATCTAAAAAGATGTATATCTAACAATAGAATCTTGATTTATCAACCATTTACCAATTATGCTTGAAAGAGCAAACGATAGAACAATACCTCCATTTGGCGAAGATATTCGTGTATATCAGAAACGTAGGGACCACACAGTTGTGGATCATCAGATTCAGCATCAATATCCGCCGGTTCATCATCTTCAGTTTCTTCTTTACTCACATTCAAAGCGGGCTTTGCAACTCTCGCCTTTGCCTTCGGCTTCGCTTTAGGCTGCTGCTGCTTCTTTTTGTTTTCCTTCCCCTGAGCTTTATTCCCGGGAACAGAAACGTTAGACAAGTTGGAAAGCTCCCCCAGAACAACCCTTTTCTTGGTCAGGACTTTCTCCGTCAAACCCGCCGACTCTGCAGCCCGCTTCTTGGCGGCGGCCCTTGTCAGCCTCACAGAGTTCTCCTGATCCGCCATTGCCACTTGATCCCTTACTAACTCTAGAGCTAACCTTTAGCGGTGAAGATTTGGGCAATAAGAGAAGAGAGAGTGAATGGGATAGGGGTGAGGGAAGCAAAGTGAGAATAAAAGGGGCAAGATGAGAAGCGCCATATTGTGTTTTGTTTTGAAAACATGGGATTGGCGGCATTTGGTGAACTCTGCGCTCAGTTTTTTGAGTTTTTAATCCTGAGTTTTGGGATTTGGGAGATTTCATTCTGAAATTTGAAAACCGTGGAATTTAGAGGCGGCTGATTTCACCACAACTAATCCCGGCTTTACTTTCAAGTTTTTTTAGTAAAACCCCAAAATTTCATATTAACGCGCTACAAAAATTTAATTATATATGCTCCAAAAATATGTATTTTAACAAATTTTGAACAAGTTTATTAATTATATATATTTATAAAATATTCTAAATTATACAATAATATTTATAAAAGCGATTATAATAACTTAATTTCATACAAAATTATTTAAATAATAATATATCTACAACATCAATTATATATGTGATTAATTTAGTTTGTAATTATATATATATATATATGCACGAACCAAGTGGTTCCCGTGATAATGAAATTATTGTTATTCATGAAGATTTGAATTCAAGCACCATAGATGTTAGAGGTCAGCGCTTAATGTCGAAAAATTGAGAGTTATCTTTGAATAGATATCGTCTTATATTTATCTCATAATAAAAAATATTATATATATATATATAATTGATTTCAATCACAGTTTAATTTAATTATTTTTTAAGACTTGAGTTTATTTATTTTTATTTTTAACTTTATCAAGCAATATTTGAAAAATACATCACATTTTATTTATTTATTTATTTATTTTCTCTACCCATCATACCAATGGAAAGAAAATATCATTTTCTTTCAAATTTAGATTCATCTACCTCGTTAATTTTTTTAATTTTGTTCACCATGTCAAACAATATTCAAGATGAACATTACATTATCTCTTTGTTTTTCTTTATTTTTAAAGATGTATACAATTGAATTAAATTACATTTAAATTTTGATTTGAATAATTAAATTAAAATTAAAATGTTATATATATATATATATATATTCATTAAATCAAATTTCATATATTTATTTATTATTTTTGTTTAATCTAAATCGAGAAATTATTTCATGATTCTTTTTATCATATCATCAAGGGTCCTAACTAATTAAAATATTTCACATCAATTTTTTTCATGTCATATGCATATAAGTAGGGGTGAGTAAAACTCAACTCAAAATCAATTGAAAAAATTATACTCGAATTTACTTTGAATTGTAATTTCATAGACTTTACTCGATTCGAAAAATTTTCAAGTTTAAATCGAGTTGTAAAACACAACTTGAATAACTTGAAATTTTTATTAATTAATAGATTGATTTTCAAGTTCAAGTCGAAGGTTGAGTCAAGTCCCTCGACTTTGTATGGTATATGTAAATCACATATAAAAAATACGAAAATATATATGTATTGTTTTTAACGACTCGATCGAACTCTCACTCCTAAGTATAAGAATTTTATTTTTCAAATAAATTTTTTCATTAATGCATATCAAAATTAGACTAATATTTAAGTATTATTTTTAAGTTCTTTATTAATACATTCATAAATAAAATTCATGCATCTATTCCAAGGTTTGCTGCAATGCTAGTTTACATCGTTGAACACTCCAGTGTAGAAGAAGTTTTTTGAATTCATTACATGGACATGAACTTAAATCAATATATTCATATTACCAAAAATCTGAGTACCAATCTGCCAATCAACATGATTGGATATTGCTGTTCGAAGCATCACTAACATACTAAAATCCTACTCGTGTTAGAAAACATCTCCCAAAGTTCTTCAGCCTATAGGATTAACAAGCTCAAATATTCATCTCCCCCACATTCAGGCCTTCTCCGAGAAATTACAAATCAGAAACGTCAACATCTTCAAATAAGGAAACAGCAACTTCTTGAACATCTTCAAAATAAGAATCTGGAATCTCTGGACAAGCAGGCATGGTTGACACACATTTGAACTGTTCCCAGAAATAAAAAAAAATCAACAGTGTTTCAGTACGATTTCAACATGGCAACGTTGATTATCGTATATCAATGCCTAGTATCAAGGGTTCATACCTTATGCTGCTTGTATTTTTCTCTAACTGCTTGAAGCGCACCTCCTCTTTTACTCGAATACAAGTCATGTATGATAGGGACACATTCTTTTAGATCAGAGGCTTTGTAGCCTGAGTACTCTTGCATGACAGGGCTCTGCAGAACACAAATGGTAAGTAAATTATAGCCACCTACGGAGTAAAACCAACAGCATAAAATGGCCTGAAAGAGGGAACTATTACCCAAGGATGCCTCTTAGGTTGAATTATGAAACTTGCAAGAAACATAACAGAAGCGGCAATCATTGAAGGCAGAAACTTTACACAGCCATAGTCCAACAAACTCAACTCTGCAAGGTAACATCCAAGGAACTCTAGTTGCAAGCTCGAAGCCTGTAAAGGACCAAAACAAATTCAACGGTCAATAACAGATAATGAAAACCTCGGATTAACAAATGCAAAGAAAACGGACATATTTCTTACTTTGTAATCCCCCTGTGCAACTCTGGCAAATCTCCTGAAAAACATCGGAGAAGACAAAAACAACAAATAAAGCATTAAGTTTCTGGGAGCTGGCATTAACTGATTAAGTATTGTCAACGCAAATCTAGTTTCTGAACTACTCTTACCTCAGAAATGTTTTGACTGTTGGATTCCCCAATTCAAACTTCAAGGCCTTGAGTATATCTGCCTCCATTTTGACCACCTGCGCATTAAGGCAACAAAATTCAGTAAATGAAATAAGCAACTAACTAGACGTGGAAAATGAAAAAGATAATGAAGTAATGAAAAAAGGGAAAGTTTACCTCATCTTTCTTGTATGTATTATATGTTATATAGCAAAAATCTTCTACATTTGGAGGGTGGATTTCCTCGTACTTTCTACTTGAAACAATCACAGCAGGAAACAAGAAAGTGAGTACAGCATTTACAATAAGTAAATAAAATTATGAAAGAAAAAAAAAAACAAAAGCTTACGAGGCAATCAGCATTGAAGATACACCCAGAAGCTGAAGCCTTTGCCTATTGATGGCATTTAAAGACAGATATCTGTCAATGTAGGAAACCGTTATATATAAAGTATCTGAAACAAGCTTGTATTCGTCTGCGACTTCCACCAACCAATCCACCAAAACCCCTCTCATATTTGTAGTAACATCCTTCTGTACCTTCTCAATATAATTAGGTAAAGGTCTTCTTTTTGGATCAACCTAATATTAAGTGCATCACCCAAAAAAAAAAGAGGAAAAATCCTTCAGTGAACTGACCACAAGCCGCAATTGACCAGATTAAAGCAATATTTCAGATTAAATCCAGTAACACTTCAAATAATGGCTTCAGAGAAGGTGAAACCGAGTTTTTCAATCTGAATAGTGTAAGTGAGAGAGAGAAATACCTCCATTTGGCGAAGGTATTCATAGATATCAGATACGTAATGGCCATACATTTGTGGGTCAACTGATATAGCATCAATATCCGCCTGTTTATCATCTTCAGTTTCTTCTTTCCTCGCCTTCAAAGCCGTCTTTACAACTCTCGTCTTTGTCTTCAGCTTCCCTTTTGGCCGCTGCTTCTGATTTTCCTTCCCCTGAACTTTATTCCCGGAAACAACAATGTTAGACAAGTTGGAGAGCACCCCAAGAACAACCCTTTTCTTGGTCACCACTTCCCCCTCCGGTAACCCCGCCAACTCGGCAGCCCGCTTCTTGGAGGCGGCCCTTGTCACTCTCGCGTGGTTCTCTTGATCCGCCATTGCCTCTTACTAGCTCTTCAGCTAACCTTTTGCAGTGCAAATAGAAAAAAGAAGGGGAAAAAAAAAAGAGGGAGCGGGGAAGATTAGCAAAAGAAGAGAAGAGAAAGTTAATGCTCTGAAGTATGGAAACAGAGGGCGATAAAAGGGGTAGAAGGGGTGAAGCGCCATTTGGGATTTTGTTTTCAGAACTTGAGGGTTGGCGGCATTTAGTAAACTCTGCTCTCAGTTTTTAAGTTTTTCTTCTTAATTTCCTTTTTCAAGTTATCTTAGTTTCGGGATTTGGGTTTTGCGGGCTCCTGTTTTTCAAATCATTTCCATTTTGGGTTCTGAAATTTGAAATCAAACGTTGGGATTTTGGGGAGGCGGGGGATTTGGTGGAAAATTCTAGGATAAATTACACAATAGGTCAACTTTATTTCACTTCTCTTTTATTCTGAGCTATCAACTTTCCAAGTATTAGTTTGTGATGTTTACATTATCGTTATATATTTATTATTAAATGATAAATAAATTATTAAAATGATTATTTTTAATTAATCATTTTTAAAAGATAATATTATGAACATGGATACCTTTTAAGGTAATTTTATTCAAATTTATCTAAAAATATAATTACTAAAATAACGCTTATAACATATTATCTCCCAATCTAACATTTTCTTGTGCCATGTAAGTGGAAGACATTTTATACGAAAAGAGTCTTCTGTCTACATGGCACAAACGATCATTAACTCTTTAAATTTTTTTTTTATAGAAACAGCTAATTTTATTTAAAATCAAAAATATCTCAAATCACAATAAAAATTTACAACTACGAGCGTAAGTTAAACGCATAATTAGGAAATTTTCTTATATTCATTGAAACAAAACTAGCAACTTAAAATCACATAAGGACCATACAAAAAATAATTAAAAATCTAAATAAGAAATTTGAACAAATATAGATAAAAACAAATTTAATCGTTTTGGCAAACGAACCATAAAATGAGATAAAGCAATTAAAAAAGACCACTGACAAACCACAACATCAGACTTGAACGACGTGAAAAGCTATCCACAAACGTAAATCGGGTATCCACATCCAATCCGAGAGTTCAAAGTAAAGAAGATCAGCAAGATATCATATAGGCGTAATTTTATTCAATTTTGGTGACGCCATATCAACCCTTAGGGAAAAAATAAATGAAAAAATAACCAAAATGAAAAAATATGTGTAGTGCGTAAGGGTGTTCAAAATTCTGGTTAATCGATTAAATTGATCAAATAAAAAAATTCGGTTCATCAATCGGTTAATTTTAGGTTCAATCAATTAACGGTTAATGGTTTTTCAAAGTTCAGTTATCGATTAATTCAATTCGAAATTTGTTAATTAACTGAATTAACTGATTTTTTTTTAAATATTTAATATATTATTTATATATTAATAGCTTTAAGACTGTTTAAATTTTGGTTTTAATCGAATTATTCGGTCGAATTAACCGATGAAATTAACCGAATTAGATGAAAATATTAAATATTTATGAATAAATGATCAACATGTGATATACATATTTTATGAATAAATGATCGAAAAATATGATTCGAATTTAGAAATAATTTTTTTAAGTTATTTGAATTATTTAAATTTTATTTTATAACTATAAATTTATACTTTTTATATCAATTAAATTTATAAAATTACAAATAAGTTAAGGGTAAAGTATAGTAATGGTCACTGAACATTTTTGAAGCTTGCATTTAGGTTCATCAACTTTTAAAACTTGCAATACAGTCCCCCGACATTTAATCCACTTGCAATATGGCCCGTACCTATGAAAATTAGGGTAAATTATATAAATGGTCACTGAACTTTTTAGGCACTTTAATTTAGGTCCCCTGACTTTTTACAACTTACAAAACATTCCTCAATTTCATTCTAAACCCCAAAATCCAAAGTAATTCAATTTTATTCTAAACCCTAAATTCCAAAATAATTCAATTACATTCTAAAACTCAAATTCTAAAATATTTCAATTTAAGGAGGAATATACTAGATTATCTTTAAGAACGTGATAGCTTGATTTTTTTACTTTTGTGAAGAAAAAATACACTCTCTCCTCGTAAATGTAAATTTAGTGACATTCAATAATTTAAATATAAAAAATGATTATGGAAGAAATTGAATAAAAAAATACAATCTCTCAATGAAAAAATTAAGAATCAAAATCCCCAATTGACATCCTTATAATTTTTATTTATTTCAATTATAATTTAGTTTTTTAATAGTTTGATGTGATTATAAGATAATATTTATTCAAATTTTTAATTTATTAATAATATAGATATACCCTACAAACACAATTGTTTGAATTTAAAACTTTTAAAGAAAATAACATTTTTTTAGCTATGAAACCACTTAACGAGTTATAATATAATTTTGTTAAATGTATTAGAAAATTAAAAAATAAATCGTGCTAGAACTAAAAGAATACGTGACCATGAAATAGAAAGTTTATGTACGTTACGAAAACATGGCATAAACCCCATCTCTTTTGAGTTGATTGTTATCATCAACTTAGGATATATTATATTAAATTATTGATTTTTTTATTTTATTTTTGAAGTAGTCAACTTCAGTGTTTATTTTTTTATTGTGTTTTTTTATGATTTTATTAAATAATTTTTCTACAAAAAATATTCGATGTAGTAAATAAATATTTAATTATCATGGTAATATTTATATTTTTAATTATAATATAAATAATATAAAAATAAAATATATTTATACATCATTACTATAATTAACATAACTCATATATAAAATTTTGACTCTGCTATTTATGTAGTCTTAATATTTATATGAAAGATATAAAATATATTAACACGTATGATTAGATATAAAAACATACACAAATAATTATAAATATATTTATTTTTAAATAAATGAATTATTATCATATATTCTTACTATTGAAAAATTTTCATGTCTTTAAATTAATATTAAAAAAATTATCACATGTTTTTAAATATAAAAAGTAATTTAATTAATAATTTAGTGACATTGGCGTTGTTTATAAAAAAAAGACAAAAATTGAAGTATTTTAGAATTTGGATTTTAGAATGTAATTGAATTATTTTAGAATTTATGGTTTAAAATGAAATTGAATTACTTTGGAATTTGTGGTTTAGAATGAAATTGAGGATTGTTTTGTAAGTTTTAAAAGTTGGGGGACCTAAATTCAAGTACCTAAAAATTTTACTGACCATTTATATAATTTACCCTAATTATCATAGGTGCGGGACCATATTGTAAACGGATTAAATGTTGAGGGACAGTATTGCAAGCTTTAAAAGTTTGGGGATTTATATGCAATATTCAGAAATGTTCAGTGACCATTGCTATACTTTACCCATAAGTTAATTAGAATCAAATTATTTAATATTAAAGTTTGGTCATCGCTCTTATCACCCTTCTGATCAACCAAATCCCTAACACCAGTCGCAGACTGTTCGTTCGCTGTTCCATCAGTCGTCAATCATTTGCCTCTCCCCTTCTATTAATTTCCCATCCAATTATATCGAAGAGAGAAAAATGAGCTGGTGGTGGGCTGGTGCTATTGGCGCCGCTAAGGCGAGAGTCCCCTTTTAATTTTGTCTCGGTAGATTTATGTTTACCCTCTTTAAGAAATTGCTTGTGATTCTTTCTTTTTGTTTTAATTTTTGCAGAAGAAATTTGAGGAAGATGAAGTACCTAGAAGCTTTCAGAGCGTTGGCTTGGTAATTGGAGTCACCGGCATAGTCGGTAACAGCTTGGCTGAGATCCTACCGCTATCCGACACACCCGGCGGCCCATGGAAAGTATACGGGGTGGCTCGTCGGCCCAGACCAAACTGGAACACCGACCATCAAATCGAGTACATTCAGTGCGACATATCCGACCCGATGGAAACGGAATCGAAGCTCTCCCAACTCACCGACGTCACCCATATCTTCTACGTCAGCTGGATCAGCCGATCATCCGAAGCCGAAAATTGCGAAATCAACGGTTCCATGCTACGCAATGTTTTGCGTTCCGTGATCCCAAACGCACCCAATCTACGCCACATATGCCTACAAACAGGAGCCAAACATTATATCGGACCATTCGAATTGCTTGGTAAAATCCAAGCGCATGATCCGCCTTTCTCCGAAGATTTGCCGCGGTTAAACGCTCCCAATTTCTACTACACTCAAGAAGACATCCTCTTTGAAGAGATCGAGAAGAAAGAAACATTAACCTGGTCGGTGCACCGACCCACTAACATATTCGGGTTTTCGCCTTATAGTTTAATGAATCTCGTTGGAACTCTTTGCGTTTACGCCGCCATTTGCAAACACGAAGGCAAACCGTTGCTGTTTCCTGGAAGCAAAGCCGCTTGGAACTGTTACTCTGAAGCATCGGACGCGGATTTGATTGCGGAGCAACACATATGGGCGGCGGTGGATCCTTACGCGAAAAACGAAGCCTTTAATGTGTCTAATGGAGATTTTTTTAAGTGGAAACATTTATGGAGCGTTTTTGCTGAGCAATTCGGGATAGAACAATTTGGCTTCGTGGAAGGGGAGAATCGGGGGTTGCAGGAGATGATGAAAGGGAAGGAAAGTGTGTGGGAAGAAATAGTGAAGGAAAACCAGTTGCAGAAGACTAGTTTGCAGGAGGTGGGGCATTGCTGGTTTGTGGATTTGGTATTAGCGGTGGAGTTGCCTTTAATGAGTATGAATAAGAGTAAGGAACATGGGTTTGTGGGATTTAGGAATTCCAGGAATTCGTTTGTTACTTGGATTGATAAGGTGAAGGCTTACAAGATCGTGCCTTGACCGTTCAATCTCCTGCTTCAAGTTGTTCCAGGGTTTTTCCCCTGAAGATGAATTTCTGTTGGTCCAAAATAAGTAGAAGGTAACCTACTATCATGGGAAGGTATGGAACTCTTAGATGTATTTGTGAAAACCTTTACCTTCGAGGTGAAGCTTTTGTTGTATTT